GATAACTATGCATTACATACTCCCAGCGCCTTTGCCCCTGCCAATCTGGCACAGTCGAAACAGTCAAGCATGTGTTACTATATTGTAAATTTTACAAGGACATGCTCTCCATACACCTCACCCCTATTCCATTTAAGTTCCCAGGTAGCTTGGATATACTTTATACATCCCACCTCCTTGCAGATCAGTCAAACGAGACCTCCATTAAAGCAGCCACATTTTGTGCTAAGATTTTATCCACAAGGAAGATGATAACCCAAACTCTCAATACCTAAGTATAGGAAGGTTTTAAAATTTTAATTATTTAATGTTTACACCTATATGCAGTGTGTACTAGACACGGACTCGTTATAATCTTACTTTGATCTATATGTTGTCGAAGGCTTTGCTCTTACTTTGATCTGTTGTTATAATATTGTTTGATCTCTGGATCATAAATAAAGAATGTATGTATGTAATATATGCATGCATGCATTTATTCTCAGTGGTGATAAAAGCAACGTTGATAATCTTTGCCCTGTGGAAGCAGCCAAGATTGTGCTTCCCAGAGAAACCATGACTTACTAGTTTGAAAACTGCTTCATGCATTTACTGCATTCAGTTTTAAAAGAGATTAATGTTTTCAAAATAAATATTTCCTCTTCATCCCTACTGCCTCTCATTAAAACCTTCAATTAGAGATCAAGTTTACTGTTTGTGTCCCTGGTAATGCCAGAAGGGTGCTGAGCTCCAAATACCTGTAACGTAATTTAAGTATTCTTTTACCGAATTCAATTCAAGATGCTGGTGCTTACCTTTAAAGCCCTGTATGGCCAGGGTCTGACATACCTGCGGGACCGCCTTTCCCCATATATACCCCAAAGAGCACTGAGGTCGGGGTCCCAGAACCGACTGGCCCTACACGGGCCCCAAAGATGCCAGGCTCACCACTACTAGGGCCAGGGCCTTTTCGGTGGTGGCTCCACACTGGTGGAATGAGCTCCCCGGAGATCAGGGCCCTGCGGGATCTTATGCAGTTCCACAGGGCCTGCAAGATGGAGGTCTTCCACCAGGCTTTCAACTAGGAGACGCTGCCCCCAACCACTAATGAGCCGGCCCGTAGTACTAACATCTGGCCACTACCACTGTGCTCCGGAAGATCATTGAGTGAAACTGTCTGGTTGTATGGTAATTTCAGCACGCCATCTTATGCTTTCAATGTATTAGCACTAGCACTTTATGAGGTTTTGTTTTATTTTATTGTATTGAATTTTAAATTGTTTTTATGTGAATGTACGGTCATCTATAGACCAATTACGTAAGCCGCCCTGAGCCCGCTTGCGGGGTAGGGTGGGGTATAAAGTAAAAATAAAATAAAATAAATAAATACCACAACAAGCCTACTTTACATTTAGATGCAGTTTCCTTAGGAGGAAGGAAGGGGATTGTTGAATGTCAATTAGGATCTTTAAGTACCATGAAGCCAAAATCGATTTTCCTCCCACCAATACTATTTGAAACATACCTTCAACATTTGTCCTCCATAAAAAGGTGAAATAAAATTTAGAAGATTTTGTAATATCAATTTGAATATTTGCCCCTTCTTCTGGCTGAACACTAATGTTCACCAACCACAGAATCAAAACACAGAACTGGAAGGGAATGCAGGAAATTCACAACAATCATACCCCCCACTCCCCCAGTAACCCCTGTTCTTTGCCCAGAGGAAGGTAAAAACCTTCCAGGATCCCTGACCCAATGTGGCCTGGAGGAAAATTCCTTCCTTACCTCAATGTGGTGATCAATATTACCCAGGGCACGTAAGAAAGGGCCATGAGAGCCAAGTGCTGATTCATCCCTTCCCACCCTCCCTCTTATGATCTGCCTAAATTCACAGAATCTGCACTGCTGTCAGATAGCCATCAAGCTAGACACAAAACACTAATTCAAAGCAAAAAGGAGGGGAAAGGAATCACCAGCGGTGAATGAAATTGGCATAATTTAAGAAGCAAAGAGAGAGAGACTGGGATGGGAAGCCACTGAGAACGTGATACTGGAGACGAAATGCCAAAGGACCCAAGCTTTGAAAACATTTTTCACTTTAATACTGAAAAAATATGCCATTATAAAATCTCTGCTCCCCATCATGTACTGTCTGCTACCCTTCGCAGGCAAAACTGCGCCTCTGCAATTCATGGCAACTGATTAGGGAATCTTTGCAAATCTTTGTTTAAATCATTCACCTAATTAAACAATGGGATTATTCCTCTGCCTTAGTGCGCTAAGGAAATGTATGATTTAAAAGAAACATGATCAGAACATCCCCCTTTTCATTACCAAATCAAGTCCTAGTGATTTGCAGAGCGTTGTTCAGCATGGATACATTGTGTGTGTTTTACCCATATTTTTCTTTTCCTACAGCAAATGGTGCCTCATAAAGTTTTTTTGAGGGGAGGCAACCATTTTGGCAGTCTCTGGGCTACTTAAAAATGGTGCTTGAGCCACGCGAACCTTTCGCACATCGCCAAACAGAGTATTGCTCAGGATCAATCCATTTGGAGGAAGGAATGCAACTGGCATGGTGAGATTCTTTAATGCACTGCCAAGATGGCAACCAGTGAGTAAGCACAACTGAATCTCCAGGAGAAATGGCAAACTTATTTTCAAATAAAGAGGCTTAATGCTCCCTCTAAGCTGTGGAGTCCTGTGAGCAAAAATTCTACTTTGTGAGCTACCAGCATTAAAGTTGTGAGCAAGTGATTTGGCTACTGCATAAATTAGTTTGCTCTGGAGCCATCCTTCCTGAGCTAAGACAAAAATGTGTGAGCCAGAGGCTAAAAAACTGTGAGCTAGCTCACACTAACTCAGCTTAAAGGGAACACCGAGGCCAGTGACCTTTTAAATTTTGTGTCAGAGCACAGCCATTAGCATTAAAGGGCATGTGCAAACAGAAAACCGTGCAAATTTGCAAGGGAGGGCAGAAAGTTGGCATTACTGTGCAGCCACGATACAGCGCTTGTGAAAACATACACACAAAAAACCCCTTTGTCACCACTCACCACCATATCACGAGTGATGTCCCCACCCCACTTGGGAAAAATATGATTCTTTGTTAAATGTCCAGAAAAAATAGACCAGATTTCAGAAAATAAAAAAAAAATCTGGAGGAAAAAGAATGGTGTGAAATGCAAGCACAGAATCCAAATAGAAGCTTCATGACTGCTATGAAAATCTGGGGTAAGATGTGCATGCATAACAGGCTCAAATCATCCAAGTCCTCACAGGAGAGACAAAGTGGGCATTTTGCCACTGAGATATTATTATCCTTGGCATGCAAATTATTTCCTGTAACAATGAATGTGTCATATGTTGGAGAACAGTATTCCTGTGTTGTTAGGGGAAACATTATTATGAGGCCTTCAGAAGACACTATATGATTATTTTTAAAAGGGGACAATACGGTAAATAATCTCAGACTTTCAAATCACTCAACAAAATTTGGCAGAATACTTCATACTAAGTTTATTATAGTATTTCGAACCTTCTGCAAAAGAAAAGGATTGCTTAACATTAACATTTCACAAATAGCTAAGGACTCGTGTGAATCATGTTAAATTCACATTTAAATCCTATGAATAAAGTAATCAAAAACCTCTCTACCTTAATTAGTACAAGCTTACACAAATAGCAGTTTGTGTGAACTCCCTTAATTACCTGGATTGAAATGTTCCATATTGACAGAACAAAAAGGACATTGTTCAAAAAAAAAGTTATTTCAATCACATCTAATTTTCAGACAAGAGATAGCAACTGCCTTCACATCTCTTGCTTTCTTTGAGGAATGAGTGTTTCTGTAGGCAGCCAACAATTTACCATCCAAAGCATTTATCATTCTGCAGTACCACATACCATGCCCTAATCTTAAAGTACACATACATACATGCTCTTCAACAACTATTAATTTGAAGGAAGGGACACAACCAGCATGTATTCTGTTGATTGCAGGCATTTACTGAATTCTAATAACTGCAAGCAACCCCTGGACCAGACTAAGTGCAATTTGTAATATTTCCCCTACCTTTGCAAGTATTTTAATTATATAAAGAAATAGTGGCAGCAGAGCAGTACTGCATTTTCTCTTTTCATCTTATTGACTTTCCTTGAGTTTCTCTTTAAAAGTCTTATTAGATTTTAATACAAATAACTGCTTAAAAGTAATAGCAATTGAAAGAAAATCATTGCCAAATCTGCATTTTCTACTAGTTTAAGCAGTATGGAACATTGAATGGCTATTGTATACTTAAGTGCTAGCTGGACATTTACACAGTACCAGTTGCTTGGGCACTGAGGTTCTGTGACCCTTCAAAGTAAATGTGCTGCGAGAACAGCAGCTCTTCTCCTTTTCTGGAGAATATTACAATACTGTTTCTTAATTAGAATTACTTATTTACTTTATTTATAGCCTGCACATCTCACTGAGGCTCAACGAAGCCTACATGGCACAAAACAATGCAATCCAATTGCATGAGAGATCCAGTAAGCAATACAATAGGTCTTGGATTTCAGAAATCAGAAACAGCACAAAAATGTATTGGATATGCTATAAACATAACAAAACAGTCCAACTAATCTTAGGCAAAAAGCTTGAAATTTTCATCAACAAAAAGCAGATGAGGAAATAAAGTGAAAAGACAAAAGGATTGAGGAGAGGGATGGAAGGTAGTGCAGATGTTTATGCAAGTGTTCATCAATCACCACAAGAATAACTAAGGATGCTGAAATACTTAGTAAAGCACTTTGATAGCTACAGATGAAAAGCACCCCTTAAAAACTAGGTACTGTTAACTGTGCCTTAGTTTTCAAAAGGAATCTACCATTAAAAAGTAATAAAATCAGGCTTCCAAGTATTTGTTGTCAGGAACTACCTGGTTCCAACAATTTCTATTCTCAGTTCAGAGTAATATTCTTAACTACTTAGCTCAAAGCCTGGCTAAATTTTGATCAACCACATTGACACCTACAGGTCATAATGCTGATTCCACTTTGGATCCAGGGTATTCTTCACAGTATCTGTAGAATGGCACTGGCCAGATCCATCAACCACAACTTTAGCAAATGGATCAGGAAGCCCTGTTGGAAGTAAGGAAAATACTTTTTATGTAAACATGAAATAAAATTATGTATCTTTACCATGATCAACTGCTATTTGCTGGCTTTCTGTAACAAAGGTTTTAATTCCATTCCAATTATCATTCCTCTCACTCAACAGTACTCCTGTTACAATGTCCTATGAGCTTTAATTTTCAGAAACTTTTATGCAAACTGTGCATAAAGCATATTTGCCACCCTGTTTTAGTACCATTTCCCACCATGAAAGCATCAAACCTCTCAAGTATTTTTATCTTAAAAGTGACATTTCAGAACAAACAGAGAGGATTCACTTTGCTTTCCTATAAGGAGATGTACAAAGGAAGCCCATAATCTTTTTATTTAGTTGTTGATCTTGCCACATGTGTAATTGTTTATTTGGGCACACAGCATGGGAACCTCTAGACAAAGTGGGCTGTTGTCATAAATACCAAAATAAAACTGGCTTTTTACAACAGTTTTCACAGATCAAATACTAAGAAGAATGGGAACTTTCTTTAGCTCCAAAATCAACACACCTGGACACTCTTTGAAAGATATTGCTATGCCACCAAAGACTAAGGAATCTATAAATCAATTACTAATTTACACAAAGCCAAAGCCTTTAATAATTTCACACCAAATTCTCCAGAAGGAAAACAAAGGACTCTCCATCCTTAGGGGTAAGTTCTTCAACGAGGCTGAAGTTGGTTCCTTATTCCCAGTTCCTTATTCATTCCTGTCCTGGGGGCACCTCACTTTGGAGCTGCTGGCAAAAGAACCACGCTTTGAAGCAGAGCACAGCATATGTCCCCTTGAAGGGGAGAGTTCACCAAACATGGGAGTGTATGACATGTGGTGGTCCAAACCTTATTCCAGGATGTAGTGGGCAAATAGTCAAACCAGTTCCTTATTCAGATCTTTTGTTCAAATACAGGCTTCTTGCATGCACCTGAAATGGAAGACTGTGGATCCGAAACCAGTGTTTCGACCGGGCATCACTGTATGTCATCTTGCAGGGGACAGTCTCCAGACCGTGGGGATGAGACCTTTGGGGTGGTCCAAACATTGTTTTGGGGTACAGCTTGGCCCCAGTGTCTGCCCGTGTGATTGTCCTGGGGGTGCCTCACTTTGGAACAGCTGGCACAAGAACCGCGCTTTGGACCAGGACACAGCATATGTCCCCTCGAAGGGGAGAGTTCGCTGAACATGGGGCTATATGAAGTTTGGGGGTCCAAATCTTATTTTGGGGTTCAGAGCTTTCAAACTCTCCTCACTGTTTTTGGATGAATAAGGAACTGGGAATAAGGAACCAACTTCAGCCTTGTAGTTCTTCAGGTAGTATGATAAATTGCAGAGGACCAGGGAGGTGGGAAAAATCCATTTTTTAAAATCAAACCACAAACTCATTCAAGTAAGCATGTATGTTCTGTGGTAACAACGTCTGAAAATGATTGCGTGTTTGTGAGAATGATGCATATATAGCTCTTTTGATTGTTGCATTAGGTACAGTTAGACTATATTATTGATCCTCTTTTATATTCTAATTCTATAAACAAGAGTTATACAAAAGCAAATGAATTATTCATTACAAAATGCTTCCATCGTAATTCAGTACAATTAGACATGCCAGAAAAAAACTGTATTATAAATGCAATGGCAAAATCAATATCCATATCAAAACAATGCATAAACCAGAGCATTTGGATTTCAATTGACATATTCTGGCTATATCCACAGTGACTCAGATTACTACAACAGAACTCCCTGACAATAGGTTGGATCTCACAGTCCTGTAGGCAGAAGGTCATAGATCTTCCCCACTCTCCCACACAAGAAAGGATCCTGGGAAAGTTTATTTCTAAGGTCACATGACCAGTTTTGCAAAAACCATATGTGTCAGGAAGCTGCAGTGGGAAGGGAGCAAAATCATCCTGCCTCTTCCATCAGCACAGGTCCACTGATGAAAGAAAAGGGTGATTTCATCACCTTCTCCCCTCCCCACTGCATTCTCCCAGCCAGTGTGGTTTAATAGAGCATGTGAGTCCCACGATCCCAAGAATAAACTTTCCTGGGTTCAGAAAGAATTGCTGTGGGAAGGAGAACGTGGGCAAGATCTTCAGTCTTTGCATCAATGGATCACAGCATCCAACCCAGTGGCTTGTTTGTGGAAAGGAATACAGCAGAGAGGCAATCAGACATTACACTTCGTATGATGCATATGTAAAAAGTATTTACTTACGGAAAAAATCCTTTTTCACCAAGTTTTTTGCACAGAGAACTATAAAGAAGAACAAAACAAGACATGTCATGAAGCTGAGTTTCTTTAACTTTTCATCTACACACAGATCACAAGCCATGACCAAGGGACATAACCTATCATCTACAGCACCAAGACTAACCCCACTCTCTTCCAGCATTGCCAATCATGGCAGACAAAAAGAAGACCGTCTCATAAACAGTCAGGCACTGTGCAATTCCCACAGACTCTCTCCTTTCCCATTAGAGGTGGAGGAATGAGCCAACTGAAGCTAACATAACTCTACATTCCACTGAGCCTCACTGAAGAGACACAGAATGGAGCAGATCATTATAGCCGCCAAAAGAGGTAAAAGTATTGAAGGTGGGAATTATCCAGCAGCATGATCTGTCAATCCCCATATTCCTTAACATTTCAATGGCAATTAAAGAAGTATGTACTTTCCTTGGATGTCTCCCTCAGGTGGCAACAGAGAACATCCAAACCACACAGAGAAGCTGCTTTGATAGAAGTAAGGCTGGAGAAGCAAAATGCACTTATAGGGAGGGTTTCTGCCGGCCAAGGAAATTGTGGAAGGTGAGAGAAAGGCTGTGAGACCATTCATGGGCATAGACAATGGGAAGAATGCATAGTTGTTTGTTTACTTCATTTATACTCTTTCTCCCAATGGAGACCCAAAAACAGTGTGATTTAATGGTAAGAGTGTCCAACTGTGATCTGGGAGATCCAGGTTTGAATCCCCCCTCTGACATGGAAGCTTGATGGGTAACCTTGGGCCAGTCACAAACTCTCAGCCTAACCTACATCTCAAGGTTGTTGTGAGGATAAAATGGAGGAGAGGAGAACAATGTAGGCCACTTTGGGTCTTCATTGGGGAGAAAGGTAGGGTATAGCTAAAGTAAGTAAAGCAGCATACATTATTCTTCTCTCTATTTTATCCTCACCAATCCAATGAGACAAACACTAGTGTTACTGAAATTACAGCATACATCAAGCCCTTCGGAGTTCACTTTTTCAAAAGATCTGAAACCTATACAAATCTACCACTTTTTCTTCTATGAACAGCCTTAAATATAACATCTGGAACAGTCTTTAGAATATTCTTTGGGAACCTAGTTCTCAGAATTACATCCCGAAACACAAACTTCATTATCCTGGATCTATAGAAACATAAATTGATTTTTCCCCTTCTTCCCCAACGTCTAATTGTAAAAAATCATTGGGACAGCATCCACAGGTCAGACTGAAGATTAACTGGGGGAAAATATTAGTTTAAGGTCATTGTAATAATCATATGCCATTGTGTGTAGAATAGCCAGGAGATCCTATGATTGTCTGGCAGCCAGAAGTTCTAGCTCTTTAGTGTTATGCACCACTAGGTGGTCAGCTAGACTTGTTTTTGAGGCAAGAGATGGTTCAGAGGTGTTTTTCCATTGTCTGCCTCTGCATCATGACCCTGGTATTCCTTGGAGGTCACCCTTCCAAATACTAGCCAAGGCCGACCCTGCTTAGCTTCTGATCTGACGGGATCAGGCTACCCTGGCCTACCCATGTCAGGGCTAGTTTGGGGGGTTCAACACAAACAATAATGTTTTCCTTATCAACATAAAAATGCTGCAAGCAAGACTATAGTCCAGTGGTTAAAATACACAACAGCATCACCTCATGAACAACTGATCTGAGCATCTGATGCTCCTTTGCTGGATGTTTTTAAGCGGAGGCTGGACGACCATCTTTCGGGTATGTTGTAGGGCTATCTTTCAGCTATGCTCCTGCAGAGTGCAGGGGATTGGACTAGATGACCTGCAAGATCAGCTTCCGTCTCATTCTCACACTCTCAGTGCCCTTACCTTTATCTAACACTCTACTACTGCAAAAATCATTTATCTTATCAGATCACACTATACCATTCAAACACTTACATTAGCTTCCCATCTCCTCTAAATCCCACAACATCTCCTTCGTCTCACATTCTCTCTTGCTATTCTTATTTCCAATTATACTAAACTGTGTGTTCCAAACAGTGACTACTGACCAGAAATTTCTGCATGTAACTGCACACATATCATCAGAGTCCACTGAAGGATTTGGCGAGTAGGGCACTACATGAAACATGCGTCCCTTAGTTTGAGCTTTCAAGATAAGCCCCACAATCAGCACATTAATACCGCACCTTATCTGGTAAATTTTTGTCCTGTCCTCTTAATGCCTGGGCAGTTTATAATAAGCAAATAAAATATTATTTCTATAAAAACAACCACATTGCAGTTTTAAATTAATTTCTAACTAATGTACAATTAGGAACCACACTGCATTTTGTTCCCTTTAGGACACAATGGACACACAAGCAGTTCTAATCTGCTAACTAATGGCAAAAGAGTCTAGACCTTTTGAAGAAATCGAGGGAACTTTTATCAGCAGAGTTTTTTAAATGTAAAGAAGAAAATAAATAAAATAAAAATTAAAAAAGAGTTGACAGACATCTAAGTTTTGTTAACTTGTTATACAGAGAACTGCAAAAGTTGGTAGCTTCTACCATTTCCCAGATCACAATTTGCAAAGGATTGGAAACTTATCAAGTCTAACTTAACCAGCTAATGTAAGGCAGTATTATGCATGCACTGACTGCATACATATAATTCAGATCTGTTGTCAAAAGCATACTTCAAGTATTCCAAAGAAAGGCATCTGCATAATTTTATCTGATGCATGCAAGATAAAGGAAGGCATACTATTCAACTGAAGGCAATCCAATCTCACTTCCCTCAAGTCACTATCCAATTTCACCTAGGAAAACATTTCTTTCTTATCCAAGATATCACATTCCACTTCTGCTCTTGCTCATGGTCTAGAAAGTCTCACTAACAAGAATTTTACACAAGTGCACACTGCCCAACATTCTACCTACAATTATGGGAATCTCCGATACCTCAAGATGACTTCTGATGGAAGAAGTCAAGAGGTACTACTGGAGACCGACAAGAAGAGGGGGGGGGGGAAACCTTTAAACAACCCACATATCTAGATTTTGAAAAAACAGATAAATTCCTACTTCTTTTTGTCCAATATCTGGAGTGAGCACACTGTAAATTCTGTTCTGTACTCTCAGCCAGAGTTATCTCCAGTCTTGCAAATCAATATTCTAAAGGTGTTCACCAGCCTCCTTCAACTCCAACAGCTTCACTGTACAACTACCCTGTATCTAATCTGAGGTCTCTCCCTCAATCTGCTGAAAGAGGGAAAGCTCATTCATGGAGCTCTGAAAGCACTAGCATAGTACTGCACTATTTCCCCAATTAGGAAAACACAATGCAGCATTATAATTACCTGTATAAACTTCTATGTTCTGACCAGAGCAGCAGCTATTCAAACAGCAAACTCGCCTCTGCTTTGTTTTGTAAACCTTGAATTTTGAAAAAATTACTGTGTAACAAAAAATATTTTCTTGAACCTTTAATTGAATAAATATTACTTTAGGGGATTAACTCACGGGTCTAGGTTTATGATTTTTCAGCTGAATGGTTGCAACAAAATATATCTTTGGTGAATATGTCCAATTTCAAAAGTTACGTAACATTGTGAATTTTTTTGCATGTGCATACAAAAACCTAAGAACATAAAAACATAAGAGAAACCATGTTGGATCAGGCCAAAGGCCTGCATGCATTTTCGTGTTAGTTCCTTGAATGAAAGGGAACAGAAAGGAACACAGGCCAAGAAGGGAAACAGATGCTGAAACTGAAAAGACTTTTTTTTAAAACTGACAAGCAGCTGTCAAGCCCCATTTTCCATATTGCCAAGCACTAGGAGATTGCTGTATCTACTGTGAAAAATGGGAGTCATACAATCTCATAATATGGGGGAACATACCGAGTGTACGAAATGCATAGTAAAACCTACTGACACAGGCACTGCATGCTGTGATCGCTGACGTGTATATGTGTGCGTGCATGTGTGCGCCTGTGCAGTCAGCTGCAATTACACCACACTTTGCTTAGGGTTGCAATTTGTATGCGGGAGGAGTCCTCTGGCAGAAACTTTGGAGAGCTTTATTAGACTTGTGCCACTAAATTGAGAGGGGAAATTGGGGGGGGGGTATTTTCACCAATGCCCTAGTGCATCTGCATAGTAATGCTAATTTCCTGTGCTTCCTTGCAATTTTGCGTGATTTTCTCTTTGTGATTCTCTAATTTGATCCTCAAAAAAAATGGCAAAGGATGAGATGGTTAGACAGTGTCATAGATGCAACGAACATGAAATTGAGCCAACTTCAGAGGACAGCGGAAGACAGGAAGGCCTGGCGTGATCTGGTCCATGGGGTCGCAAAGAGTCGGACTCGACTGTGCGACTGAACAACAACATCAACAAATTTGATCCTGCACACTGGTCGTGATCTTGGCAGTTTTTAAAAGCCTGTCCTGTTCCAATTGCACTCTGTCCTCCAAATGGATCAATCCCAAGTGATTCTTAAATTCAGTGGTTTGCAGAAGGTCCATGTGGCTCAGCTGCCATTTTAATGTTAGGCTTCTGGTGACTGCCAAAATGGTTCCCCTCCCCTAAACTTTGTTCACTAAAGCATTAAAGGGGGGAAATGTTTTCAAAGCTTTAGGCTTTCCATCCCAGTGTCCCTCTTTACATCTCATGCCAATGTCACTCCAGTCCATGCTGACAATCCCCCTCCTTTATTTTGTTTGCATGCAGCACTGAAATCTTTTTTTTTCTTTTGCATTGGGGATGCCGTTTGCCTCCTCTCTGACCCCTTTCAAGTAAGTGAAGAACAAGCAAATACCCCTTTCAAGTAAATATCAGCAGGGAACTAAACCTCGCGCAGCTCCTTTTAAACTTTCCCTATCATTTCAAATTTTTTATTCAACAATCCAAGACTACTGATAGTCTCGTATTGCTGGACTCATGCGGCTTGTAAAAAATAGATTTTAAAATGAGGGGGAAATGGAACTTGTACACCGATGAAGGGGGGAGGATGGTGGAAGTTGCAGAGTGGGCAGAACAACCTCCATGTGGGGGGAGTGACTTTCAAGGTGCTGCAAAAGGGCAGGGGGGAAATCCGAGAGAATCTGTGTGCTTTTGAATTACCTTTGG